AAATACAGTGCGTGGTGATAGAGAAAAAGAAAAAAGATATCTATATATATATATATATATATATATATATATATATAAACTTTTGGTTAAAGTTGCAACCTTCTGTCATAAGACAGCAAAACAGTTAAAAAATGTTGATGTTTAATCAGGTCAAACAGTTGTCTTGCGGAGTCTAATCTAAGGCAGTTTAACATCACAAAGAAAAAGTGAAAAAAAAAACTCAGCAAAATACATTTATTGACAAAAACATTCATCTTATTTTGTCCTTTGAATTTTACACACAAAAATATCAAAATACTTTACAGGGTCTTTAAATCTTCATATTGTCAAATTTTTTGGGATCGATTTTCTACTGTACAACAACAACAACGTGCTCGTCCTTTTAGAAGCTCATTTCTCATCTTTTTTTCCCTTTTCTTTTAGGAAACAATGCATTTAGAATGATGCATAGTTTTTCACTTAGAATTTAGCGATGTATTAGAGAGACGTCACTGCATTTCATGCAAGTCATTTCAAATCACTCATTCAGAGCCAGGTTCTCACATGTGATAAAACAGGAGACACACAGTACGACATTCAAAACAGGGATTATCTTGCAAGCTTTAACTTCAAAGCTTAAAAAAAATGTATAAAAGTATACAACTCATATTCCACAAAAGGGGAAAAAAAGTACTAAAATAAACAATGGGCCCAAAGTGCCCCAGTGCAATGTGAGAAAGAAACAACGTGGAATAATCCTCTTCAGTTAACCTTGTGGACATGGATCTGGTAGGACTTGGGAGAGAAGACAGGGACACGGTGTCATGAATTCAGGTCTGACATGAGGAGACATGTTGACTACATGTCTCCTCATGTCTTTTATGAACATTATCCACTTCATCTCTGACTGTTTCCAGTTCCTCTCTAACCCTAACCCGGCCGCTGACAAATGTACAGTATATACTGTTTACATCACATGTATGGGAGATCAAGTTCAAGGCTGCAGAATGCAGATATAATGTGGTATAAATGGGCCTTTAAATAATAAAATACACAAATACAAATGGAGGAAGAAGTTCAAAAAACAGAGGAATCCTTAGGTCCTTCTATGCAAAGATACTTGGTGCTTTCCCAAAGTCAGGGATCCTTTAGGTGTACATTAGGTCAGTTGGTGTTTCCTAATGTTAAGGATCCTGTGAATCTCCACAGGTCAGCTCCTAAAGAGACGAGAAACAAGTACTGCTGACTTGCCGCTTGCAAGTTGTGTCAGTGTGTGCTGCTGTCAGCGGAGGTTCCTTCCTAATTCCAGAAAAGCATGACTAGACAGAAGTGGGCATTATCCTTCCTTACACTGACGTGAGTACATTGGGATACACTGTATATGCACATATAATTAAATTGAACACATACAAAAAGACAGGAAAGTCCTTGGATGATCAGGAATCTACAGACACATACTGTGTCCTAATGAAGTACCCTAATACCTAGTACCCTAATAATACCTGTTTTTTTTAAACAGGTATTATTAGGGTAAAAAAAACCCAAAACTATTTAACTTAGTACTACAATATGGTACTACGCACATTTTGATTGTAAAGGTTCTCAAACTAAGTTGTGTAACTCTGATCAAGCCCAGTAGGTGACAATAATGCACCCCAAAGTTTGGTTGCCAGCTGCAATAAAACATACTTTGATTCTTACAGTGAAATTACTTCATGGAACATCGAAGTTTTGTTCTTCGAACAAAAAGTTTTGTTTTGTTCGAAGTTTCATGTAGTACTGAAATGTGTTACATAATCTCATGTATTCTTACACTACACCAGGACACAGGCGTGTGTAGATTCCTAATCATCCAAAAACTTTGCCGTTTCCTTCAGAGTTTTATGAGGCAACATCCTCAAAGCACCTTACTGCAGCCACGCCCACTTGGCTTGTCTACAGTACAATGAACCCTCCTGTCTGGTCTATTTCTGACACCACTGTCCTTCCATGCTGGCTCTAACAAACCATAACATCTAAAACACTCAACTCTGTGCTGCAAAAAGATGTGAAACGTCAAAAAGAGAGGTTTCAACTTTTTTTCTGTTTTCATACCTTTTTTACAGACTGATCGCTAGAGGCAAAGTTCTACTGTCTCCAAGTTTGAATGAAGGTCCAGTGTGTAATACAGTGGTCAGTCAGACAGACTGGTCTGTGTCTCCTACAGCTTGATGGACCAGGATGATCATTTCATCTTTGTCAAGTGTCTCGCTGTGTCAGGGTTTTAAACATGACTCATTATCATAACACAGTCAGCTGACATTGTTAGGACTGTTATCTCCATGTAAAATTCAACATGAAGTTCATCTCCACCAACCTGCAGAAAAGAGCAGACTGACACTGATAGAAACATTCCTGTTCTTTTTTTAAAAAAATAAATTATTACATCTTAGAACTTGTTGACTAAAAGGCATATCTAAAGGATTTCTTACACACTGGACCTGTGGAGTCTGGTTCAATCTCTCTACACCTACGTAAGCAGTTAGATCTGTTTTCAAACATGGCTGTGCACGTGATGACGACAGACACACCAGCTGACTGCAACTATGTCGAAGGCAAACATTTACATCTATGTTGGACTGTGTAGACTGTATTGTGACATGTTCCTGTGAGACCTTGTCACTTCACTGAAGCAAATATAACCGAGTCTAACTGCATCTTTACACACACACACACACACACACACACACACACACACACACACACACACACACACACACACACACACACAACAAAACACAATAGAAATAGTTTGACACTGCTCCACAGTTATTCACACACCTAAAGTGTGGGAATCAACCCTTCAACTATCAAAAGTATAAATGGGTTCAGGAAGATTGTGTTCACTTTAGCCGAGTACTTAATGACCCCAGATATATAAAAGACGAGCAAAGAAAAAATACGCCAGCAGAGGGAGCCTTTGAGCTCCTAGTTTCCTCTGTACATCTACAATCATTAAGGCATTATTCTTCTATTCAGTATTGCTAAAAGACTCAGGATTCACATGACGTGAAATGACGCATCAACGGTATGTAAGGAAGTTTTTCAAAAGCTGACACTTGAGGACAGAGTGCAAAATACTCAGATAAATCAAAGACCTGTCAAGTCCCTGGTGGCATAGTTAGTACCCAGCATCTTTTATAAAGGCTGCAGTGTTGAGGGGTAATATGCTACTAACATGCAAAGTGCTCTCTTGTTTTAAGAGAAACAAATATATATAGATATGCTAAGGTTTTTTTGTTGTTTGTTTGTTTTGTTTTTCAAAAGTCAGAATGTTCCAAATGTTTGGTTTCATTTGCTTAATCTCGCAGCAACATCTGTCTCTGGTGGAGGACGCTGCCTCTTGAAAGTCAATAAAAAAGCAGATAGTAAAAAGTAAAGAACAAATATTCATAGAATTTCCCTCCATTGGAATAAATATGAAACCATGGACAGCAGGTGGCAGAAAAGTCTGAGGTATTGACTAGCTTATAAAGGGAAAGGTCATAGCTGTTGAAGTGTGGTTGTAGGAGGTGATCACCACTTTATCACATCTTAAATAGTGAGATCAGAAACAATGGAGATGAGAGATCAACTGTTCATGGTATTCACCCTCAGTTGAAGCCTTAGGTTCATGAGTCAAGTATAGTTCCATGGACCAAATTTAGGATTATTAAGCACCTCACACAGCCACACTTCAAATCTGCCATCACCTTCATGACAAAAATACCACTTGACCACAAAGTACGGAAGTGAATGTACAACTAGGCTTAACAAAGTCTGTCAGGGGCTGCAAGATAAATAAGATGCAGACAACAAGTGGGCCAGACCTAAAGAGAAGAAGGAGAGAACAAATGGAGGACGGCAGGTGAGAGAGTTTCACTCTGATTCAAACCAGGTAGAAAATACAGGTGGAGTAAGAGAAATAAAGTCTTTGCAGCCCCCCGAAGGGAGGAGTAGGGACTGCAGCTTCAAAAGCAGCCCCACTGGACTTATTAACAAAAATAGTGCAATTTTAAGAGAGAGCAGAGAAGTCATGTTCTCTGAAAGCTGCCTATTCACAAAAACCCTATAAAAGACCACTGATAGAAAGAATTCCTAAAAGGTCACCTCATGGCCGCGCCGTACCGTCATACATTCATAGAAGAGCATTAAATATCACGAGAGAGAAGAAGAAGAAGTAAAGAAGTTCAAAAGTCTTCAGAATGTTTTTTTTACGTGGGCGTGTGACGCCTGAGATCTTCGTCTGATTGGCCCCTGTGTTATTGAAAACTCCTTCATCCACTCTTGTCTCCACTCTTCTCTCCAGCAGCCTTGAGAAGAAAAGAAAAAAATAGTTAGATGACCTGTACAACTGGTGGCTGATGGGACACAGGTGGTACATGACCAACATAAATCTACATGATGTAAATATATATATAATATAAATAGAGAAAAACCTTTTAGAGCCAATGTGAAGAGAACTCAGAGACTGTGGTCTAAACAGCTGAGGAGCCTTCATTTACCCGTCATGCTTAGTTTCTGCTGAAGGTGGATGTGGAGCTGGACACGCCCTGAACTATTGGACATTGCGTCTGAGCTCAAACCTCCGGGATTTTTCTACACAAACATAGACAACGTTGTGACATCACTGCTCACCCCGCTTTTGTGAAGTGCGTTGTCCTGCACACCAAAGAGCCCGCCTCCCCCTCCCTGCAGAGGTGAGGCTGTGGCTGAGGACAGTAAATTGGGCGACTGGGTGATCATGGGTGAGTTGGGGGTGGATGTGAGAGCTCCCGTCAGCGTGAGGCGCTGTAGTTCCCTCTGTCTCTGCTGCTGCAGCATCTGACACACCAACACCTGCTGCTCCTGGGGGGAGTGGAGGAGCTGGATTCAGTTTCACAACTTGTCTTAAATAAACTGACAGTGGTGAAATCTAAACTTTTTATGGCCGACTACTTTAGCTTTTGAACCATTTACAAAAACTAAACTCATCAACTGATAGCACAAGAAAAGTGAGGTGGGTTTACAGGAGTGAAGTTTTGTGAAGCGAGGAACTGCTGGAGCTGCTGCTGCTGCTGCTCAAGAACAAACTGTTTCTGCTGCTCAGAGAGGAGGGTTGACCTGAAACACAAAGACATTAAAAAAGTCTGCTTTAAAAACAAACATTTCCATTCCACAACCTCACAAATATTGAAAGGACTTGTACTTCAGCTGACTGGGTTCTAGGTTGTGAAGAAGAGGCTCTGGGTACGTACGGGCTCATATTCTTGGACAGCTGGAAGCTCTGGACCAGTGCTTGTGGGTTGAGGGGCGGAGGTTGTGGCCGGAGTGCAGGGAGTGTGAGCTGATGCGTGTTCTGAGCAGGAGACTGGATTACTCCGTTCAGACTCCCCAAAACACCGTTCATACTCAACTGAGGACTTCCTGCCAGAGATGCTATCAATCCACTGACCCCGCCCAGAGAGGAGCTGCCCGCCTGACTGACGATCGCGCCCAGACCGTCGCTCAAACCTCGACTCAGTCCGTTTGAGGCTGGCTGGCCAAAGGAGGCGGGGCTCTGCTGAGGAGGAGGGGTGCTTTGGAAGGAAAGGGACGAGCTGCTGCGGGATGGACTCCCAGAGTGGAGCTCCTGGAATGAAGAAGAGTTCACTGGCTAACATACTCAACAAGTACTTTTTAACATCAGTACTGTAATACTGCTGCAGGGAAATGACTATGCAGTAAAGTCCTTGATTTACCTCTGACAGACAGGTCTGGGATACAAACTGGCAAACTATTATTAGGCCCTTGGCCTAGTGTTGAACATGCACAGGTGAACCATGGGAGTTCACCAGCCAGTCTTACCTCAGATGAGGTAATGAAGGAAGTGTCATTCAGGAAGCAGTTTTTGGACAGAGGGCTCTTGTTGGTGCAGAGACCTGAGGTGAGGAGAGAGAACACAAAGAACTCCATTCCACTGCCATCCTCACAGAACCTCAGTCCAATATTTTAACAAACAGATATTCCAAGACTCTGACCTTGGCTGGGTGACAGGAAGTTGACATGCATCGAACCATGCAGTGATGCCTGCGCTGAATGGACATGTGGAGGAAAAGGTACGGCCAGCTCTGTGTTCAGGAGCTGCAGCCGCTCCTTCTTGGCCGTTAGACTGAGGATCTGGTCCTGAAGACGCTGGTTCTCTTGCTGGAGGGAGTGAAGCGACTGAAGCATCTCCACAACTAGACAGAACATGAAAGAGAGGTGGAAAGTCATCATGCTGCTCTGTTAAATTAGCAGACCCACACCCACACCCAGACACAGGAAGGTCACTAGACAAAATTCTGTTTTGGCCGAGTGGAATTTGAATGTTCTCCCAGAGAACCAATGTGTTTGGTGTTTTTAAAGCTGAATGACTTTTAGCTTTTTTTCTTTTCTTCACAGTGACTCACGGTTGACTCCCATTTCTCCATTGCCATGTTTCTCCAGCAGGAGCTCGATGTGGCAGCTGGCCGCAGGGACATTCTCAGGATGGGCTCGGACTACAGCACCCAGCCCGTCTCTCTGGTCAAATAAAAGTGGAAGACAACTCATGGGAGACCTGTGTGCAGAGACAGGGGAAACAAGAGGAAATCAGAAGAGTGAAGTGGCCATGGCTGTGTGAAAATGAGAAAAACTCTTGTTCTCCCTGTTGCTGAAATACGTTTGATGACTCAATCTTTTTCAACAACAAAGATAAGTGAATGCTAAAAAAAACTCACTGTGAGGACAGACTCTCTCTGGGTGAGTTCCCCTGACATGGAAAACGACAGTCATCCAGGTCTGACTCTGAAATCAGGGAAAAAATAATCATCAACTTGAATGGATTTCAGACAGTTCAGAAGTTTAACAGGGTTTTTTTAACTCTTCTTTTAAATGATGAGCGATAACAATGTCTTCTCACCTGGCAGTGAGGTCTGGGCTTGGCTCAGTAGTGGTGGCAGTGTTGAAACAGTGGAGAGACAGCTGGAGAAAGGCTGGGTGGAGCTCATGCTGTAGGAGGTGCTGGAGCCTACATGAACCTGTAACAGAGTGGACACCAACAAGTGTCAGTCATCTGGACCGTGTAGATGGGATACATGTGTACGTTACTGCTGTCAATTTTCTGGTTGTTTCAGGGGCTTATGGTTTGAAGTTTTTTGTTGTTAACCTATTAAAGTTTACAGCCATGTTTGTAGACCCTAACTGTTTTCATGTTTTCAATTATATATATTTTTAAATTTTGTCCAACAGTGGAATAATTAAACTGATTTGTTATTTTCTGTTCAATGACAACAGCAGGTTTGTAGGAACTGCTGGAGGTCAAAGGGTGAATTTGCAGCCTTTTCGCAGCACTTGAGACTATATGAAGTGTCATTACTGTGTGACCCAGTAGGTTGCTGTACATGTTGACTCTCTGCCCTGTAGTTAGCAGCTGGTCACAGGTGAGTAACATCATCACTGAACCTGTTTCCCTGACTCCTCAGTACCTGTGTGTTTGAGACGGTGTTGACCGGTGGGAGAGAAAGTGAGGAGACGTGGGATGGGAAGAGTCCTGAGGAGAGAGGGGTGCTACACATGCCCCCTCCCAGAGACAAGGAGGTGCTACACACCTCACCACCCAGTGAGAGAGCGGTGCTACAGACACTGTCGCTCAATGTGGGGGGGTCCTTGAGGTTGGAGTAAATACCTGCAAATGCAGAGGAAAAGCTGTCAGTTTAGATGATCTGAGCAGAACTACAGCCTCTCAAACACAACACACAGCCTCTCAAACACAACAAGAGCAACAGAAGAGAATTTAAGCATTTTTCCAAAATTAGTCTGGGCTTTGAACAAACATGAAAGACAATGAAAAGACAATGAAAAAAAGACAATGAAAGATCATTAAATGAACAGGACTGTCCTCAGTGTAAAAGAAAAAACATTCACGATGATCAGTTGTTTCTCCAGTTAACCAGTCTTATCCACAGATTGGACATTGTTTGAGGTCCCAGACACCTAGTATCATACGTCTTATACTGTTTTGTATTCTATTTGGTTTCTTTCTACTGTAACGAACAGATACTATTTCTCTACTGAGCTGCAGACACTGGTGATGGAAACTTCTGAACACAACTAAGTCACCAAAGTGTAGGTAGATACACTTTTTATATAAACACACAGGAAACTCGAGGGCAACCACACATCTACACACACACGTTCACACACACACGTTCACACACACACACGTTCACAAAGACTAACCAGAGCCAAGCAGTGAGTTTCCACGACTTGTGGAAAAACTGCTGACAGAGGAGATGAACGAAGTCGAAGAAGCAGAAGATGAAAAGGCAGAGGAAGAGGTGGGAGGTAGCATAGAGGGGAAGACAGGGTGTGGGAGGGAGGAGGGGCTTGTGTAGAGTGAGGAGGTTAAGGCAGGTGGAGGAGGTGCTGTGTGGTGATGTTGCTCCTCTTCCTTCCTGTCTCTGTTCTTGCTGCCCCGTGGGCGCCCGGGCCCGTGGCGACTCTTCTTGCCACCGCGGTGCCTCCTTTCACGGGGGAGAGGTGGAGGTGTGGCTTTGTCCTCTGTGTCTGCCTCCTCCAGGATGGGGGGTGCACTCAGTGGAGATGGCTTGCAGAGCAACTTCGGGGGCTTATAGTCGGCTGAAGCAGAGGACGAGGAGGAGGAGGAGATTTTGCGGATCTTACTGCTGCTGCCCAGCCCTGAGGTGGAGGTGATGCGCATGATGGAGCCAAACGTGGAGATGGTGACCTTGTTTTCAAAGGGGCTGGAGTTGCCCTCTGACCTGTCATGACCCTGGGATCCTGCTCTTGGGCCATCAGCAGGAGTCAGTGCTGGTGGCTTGTGGTACTTGGTATCCTCCTCCTCCTCTTCTTCCTTTTCCTCCTCATCTTCCTCCTCCTCCTTCTCCTCTTCCTCCTCTTCTTCCTGGACTGCAGGCCTCCTGTGACGCTCCTTACGCTCCTCTCCACTGTGATCGTTACCACCTCGGTCAGATTCACGCTCTAGTCGGGTTGAAGATGAAAACTGATGAAAGTCCTGAGCAGAGGACAGAGAGCCCCCTACAGGAGAAGAAGAAACACCAAGATTAAGCACCAATAGACAGACAGTGCCGGGACATGTGACTGTCAGAAACAGAAGGTCAATCAGTAATAGAGGCTGGATTACATGAGTCGTCAGAGAGAACTGGTCTTAAAAAGTTCAATCAAAAACTACACACCACCCCAGACCTCCTGTCCACATCTCATCCTGACCCACTGTCTGGGTACAAGCTGCCATCAGTTCATTATACAATCAAGATTTGAAGAGTTAGGATGAAACAGTAATTTACTAGAATCAAGATCAAGTAATGAAATATATAGAAAATGTATAAATATATAAAAATGTAAAATACATTTTTAAAGGTGTCAATAATTCAGCACCATAACCACTGGGTTATGGTAACCACAGCAGTAGAATCCCCAGAACATGTCAGTGACAACTCTAGTACTGCAAACTACAGACAGATCTCAGACAAACTGACGTTCTCTATTAAAGGGAGCCATAGTGACCTATGATCTACAACGTCTGTGTGTGTCTGTGTGTGTTTGTGTATTTCTCATGTTGTTGTTGTTTTCACTTAATTTTATCTTTGAAAGACTTTGAAGTTTGCTACAACAGTAGAGAATTAGCAAATTGTGTGATCAATAACTACTACACAAAATTTGTAACAATACTGTACATGTTTCTCAGTAAAGGCTGTCTGTAGTCAGTGCTTTGTTTTAACATTAACTTCTGTAAAATCCAACTGATTCAAACACACGTTTGTACCTCATGTCACTTTTCTATTGAATTCTATTGAATTGTGATTTGAATTATCTTTGTGGCTTGTCAAGAAGGATCGACAATTATTTATTTTTTACTTATGTACGTGGCTCATGTCCTGTATGGATACATGATATTATGGAGCGTACACACAGTGATCTTGTTTTAGTCCTTTGTCTTACATTGTCCACATGTCTGTTTTTTGATGACTTGCTGCATCAAAAACCTCTGAAGTGGGCCTGTTTCCTACCTGTGTTAAATGGACTGGAGGAGCAGGAAGAGGAAGAGCAGCTCTTGCCAGTACTTCCTGTCTTTTTACTGCGGTGACTGTGACTGTGTGAGCTCAGCTTCTTGGATTTACCCTCACTGTCTTTGCTGCTGTGGTGACTGGAAGAGAGCTGTCCACAGGAGCAGAGAGGAAAAAACACAGAATAAGGACTGTCAAAACAGAAATCAATACTTCAGGAGTCATAGAGCAGATCGTCTGTCTTATTCACTAACACCAACTCTTTAGAACCTGAAAACCAAAGCTGTTCCTCTAAGCTGTTCATTTCTGATCCCTTCAATCCTCTCAACTAAACCTCAGCATCTTCATCTCTTGAAGCCTGCTCCTTTACACAGTACCACTGTCAACCAAACACCAGAGAAGAGCTCATAGCATCCTAGTGACCATATGGTCAGGCATCAGCTGTGGTTGGAGGTTCTTACCTTTTCTACGCTGCTTGTTGTCACCGATGAACACAGACGATCAGATGACTTCTTGTGTCGCTCTTTCTGACGTACTTTGTCCTTGTGACTCTAAAAACCAAAAAAATAAATAAATGTCAAGTGAATAAAAACAGGAGAACAAGACAAGACTAAATAATTTTCTTTTTACACATTTCACATTTTTCACCTTTCTCTGCCTGTGGTGGTGGTGTTTGTCTTGTGAAGGAGAGCTGGAGCGCCCCCTAGAATGACTGAAGGAGCTACTTGAATTTTCACTGGAGCGTAACTTCTTTTGCTATTACAAAAAAAAAAAAAGTCAGAAAAAAGCGTTTGTGTTCAGTCTCAGTAGTGGGGGCACTGGAGCCTACAATGAATGAGATTGTTTCTTTAACCAATCCGATTTTGAGTTCTTTTGAGTCTAGCTGGCCCAGAGTTATGTTGACGATTTGTGTTATTTGATTGGATGGTCAGAAAAGACACAGTTTCGAATATAACAAACTGCATCTAGCGACTTGCAGGATCAAAAGTTTTCTCTGTGTCCACTGCTCCACTGTCCAATGAACATTCTCAGCCTAAAGTAAATTGACTGACTGCAGACGTCAACCTGGTCTGGCTAACATTAAATGTTTAGACCAGTTGGATGGCTATTGTTAAAAACACCGTAATAACTCCAACAGAGCACATGCACGTTTTACCATTTTGTTATAGTGATGCTTGCAGTAACCGCAGTATTTGACGTTGTCTGCCTCTGGTCCTTCCTCTTCACACAACAGACCAGCCATCTGAGCACTGAGGAGAGGTCACAGGGTCAAAACTTCAAATTATCTCCCTTGTAGTAATTGTTTTTAACATTTATTTGCAGTCAGAATCAGTCAGGTTTGGACAGTAACAACACTGTTCAAAACACAGACAGCTTGAAGTTTATCGTTAGCAACTGAATACAAGTATTGAATTGGAGGAAAGTTTAGATTACTGCTTTACAATTTATAACTTGTATTTACATCACCTCCCAAAAAGGCAAAGATTATTGATTTAAATCAAAACATATGTAAGATTTAAAAAAAAAAAAAGTTCTTCCAAGTATTCCCCAGGGCATGAACACACTTTTGAACACATTTGACTTAACACTTACCAGGTGACATGAAAGGCCTGTCTGCAGCCTTGTCTATTGCAGGTCATGCAGGCTCCACATGCAGCCTTACTCTCCCTTCCATGGTCCTCACAGATGTAACAAGTCTGGTGACAGAGGAGGGATGGGGGGTGGGTGGGGGCAGGAAGTTGGAACAGTTTTATATGAGGAACAACTTCCCTCAACTTAATCCACTCAACAAATCCTTCAGTACGTCTCCAGTGATTTGTGATTATGGCCCATAAGGTGTGTTTTTAATAACAGCACTGACAAGAAATAAGTTGACTTTTATAGTTACAGACTGAGAGCAGAAGACGGAAGACCCGTCTGCCGCCGCCCCGAGGGTGACCAGATCCAAATCAATACAATGTGGGTCACGTTATGAGGTCATGGAGTGGAACCAAATTTTGATTAGTCTTGATTTGAAAATGAATAAATACAAGTGCCCACTGTGTCTACATCATTATCAACTTTCATGAGTGGAACAAGTTGGTTCCATAGTGTAGTGGTTAGCACGCCTTCCTCGGAAGCAGTGAGCAAAAAGTGCTGGGTTTGACTCCCGGAGGAACCACTTGCTGGGGGCAGCCTTTGAACAGCATATCTGCTGTTAACACAATAATTTCCCAAATATGGGATCAATATAGTACAATTTTATTTACTGCATATAGAAGTATAACAGCGTATGTGTGTATGACTTAAATTCATTCATATTATTAATAATATGATATATATAAAATAATAATAATGAATTAATATTAATATTAAGTCTAAGCAGCTAATTTTGAAACACATTTGGCAGATTATAAAAAATCTACTTAGTATGGACCAAAATCTACTTTTTATAATATTTTCCCTTTGACAATGAATCACTAAAAATAACAGGAAATAGTACTAAATAGTGATTTTTTTTTAAATAAACAAAAACCATGTGTCAAAGGACAGAAAAACACTGATGGACACTGAACACTCCTACATTGTTAGGATGAAAATGTTCAAACTGCTGCCATAGATGGTTTGAGAGAGTGGTGAAGGAACCATCAACTGTACGTCAAGCAGAAGAAACCATCAGTCAACAGAGAAGACAGCAACTCTTAGCGGCCACGGTTGTCATGGGTTCAGACAATACAGACACAGTAAGCCCCGTCCACCACCAACCTCCCATGTGACTCACTCGCATTCACACCTTGACCTGGGTGAACACAACTTCCTGTCATGATGCAAGGGTGTGGCCACCCTGGTCCACTGTTGTCACTGCAATGCATTCAGGTAACTACTGGCAGACTCTGCCATCAGTGAAGAAACCTCTTTGATGAGGAGGTGAAACAGGCCAGAACAGCCGTCTTCTCCTGACCTGCTTCAGAGAAAATGTCCTGGACCACCGAGGACCTCCACAGATACAGTATGTTAGTTTAAGGAACACAGGAACACCCCATCAACACACACACACATATATGTTGCGTGAATCAAACATCTACAGTAAGTTTCAGATGTCAGAGAAGATGATCCACACACATCTCCAACATTACTTCTTCCCTGGTCGATGGACTGGTTTTATGTGGCCAGAGATGTTCTGCATCTGTAGCTAATCTTCTACATTTAATACATCTTCATTCCAGCTGCTGTAGAAACAACAACATCTCAGGATCAAGATGGCTGCTTACGTAGATCAACACCCTTGTCTGGACCACACAAGCTAATTCTACAGCTGCAAAATCAAAAATACCCAAAAGAAAAAAAACACAACCCGATTAAACACAACGCCTGTTAACAACGTCTCCAAAATCACAGACACCGGAACGGAACCTGACTCCTCTCTACTGTCACTCTGTGGTAGATACAGATGAAAGGCTTTTTCTAAGGGAGTGCAGCCACAGCTTTACTGTAAACCATTGGAAGGACAACAGATGGAGCGTTCAAACAGAAGACAGCTTTCATTTTTAACTCTGACTGGTAGCCAGATGTAAAAAAAAAAAAAGAGAATAGTTCATCCAAGAACCTTTTTTACATTTTATTTTAAAACAAATTTCACTTGTCATCTACACATATTCTATGTGTATTCTAATATATTCTATATCAATGAATTATCCTAAGGATGTCATTTGATGTCATGGTGGTTCAAAGGCTCTCTACTGAGAACTGGAATATCACAAAATCTGGAACGTCACAAAACCAGGAACATCACCAAAAGAAAAACCAGTCCTGCTGTTCCAGCCTCACTGTCAGCTTTTTTTCACACCTGGAGATATGTATTTTTCATTTTTATTTGTCATCAACACTGACTGCATACAGCATTGGTTCCAAAAGTGGGGCACAGAGGGGGCGCTGCAAAAGGAGTTTAGCAACAACTGGTATGAAAGAAAATAAAAATAAAGAAAACAATCTATGAACTTCAGAAATGTCATTTTTACATTTTGTACCAAACCAGGATCAGACTCTCAGAATATGACTTTCACCATGTGCATGGACAGATATTTGAATTTTTCATAATTCTTTCCTCAGGCTGAAAACAAATAAAAACCTATAAAAACCTGATGAGCTCTTCTGCATCCTCCTCAGATTTTCCTCAGTCAGCAGGACTGTCTGACTGACTGGTGGAGGGGGGAGGTGGAGGGGGAGGTCGGAAGAGGCCTAGCAACAGGTGCGGGACAAAGGAACAGCAGGCTCTTTACCTTTTTTCACTACAGCCCACTCTGATTTGCCTCCCACTTCCACTCCCCACCCTTCACATCCTCCGCCTCCACTCTCTGTTCCCCCTCTGAGGATTTTGGCAGTGTAATGAAAGAGCGGAGACACAACCACACGGCGTGTGTAAAAGGAAGAGTGGCTTCTCCAGCTCCGGCCGTCCATTGTTACTCTGTCTAGGAATTCAGGCAGCCAAAATGTGGATGAATGGCTGTGACTGGGGGGGGGGGGGGGGCTGAAGCTGCATGTGATTTACTGTAGCTGACACAGTAATATGACACCCCGCATGCAAAGACTCACATGTGTACATTTATATGCAGGCACGCACACTCACACACACACTGGCCAGTGACTGGCTGCTCAGTTCAAAGAGTCCAGTATTGATTTCTGACTAATGTGGCGGCTTTTAGAGATCCTGCCTCATGTTGGATTCACTGCCCACTACTGCTGTAGTACTGACTCAGACTGTACACACTGTACACACAGAGAACAAAAGAGTAAGGGTTGATGTGTGACTGGACTGAAGCAGTTAGTAGTTAGTCTGTAGTCAAACCAAATGGAAATAAAGGCATCGAAGTGGAAGGTGTGTCCACAAACAGACAACAATGGGAAAACAGTCCATGATCTGAGGTTTGATCTCGATATACAAAGCCATCCTAAAAACAGCCATTTATTATCAGCCTTCCTACAGTAGGCTCATCAGAAGCACAAGCACACGGACAGACACCTTTCACACCTGTCTTCACACCTACAGACATGAGCATCATCAACCTTTACTCTTCCAAACGGTGTGATGTTGCATGCTTCTGAACCTACACGTCACTTTCTTCACACAGGAGTGTCATGCATTTAAACAATAACTCCACTATGGACTTCAAATCTCTCCTGCTGTAAGAACACTAAACACTGAAGACTTATTGAAGCTACACTGCATCCAGTAGGGCTTTGACTGGGGATCAGTGATATGGTCTAAAAATGTCTTTTTGTCTTTGATGATTTTATAACAAAAAACAAGCAGTAAATGCTTAACAAGAATACATTAATGATCAGATTAAATTTTTTATGTGTAAATAAAGGTCTTAAAAATAAAAATGTTCTTCCTCCATTTTCTCAAATATTTATTGTGTTGTGAATATTATAGTAAGTTAATCATTTCTATGTCACTTAAATCTACTGTAGTTTTTTATTAACTTTTTGAATTACAGTATGAATTGAATATTTTTATATTTTTATTTACCATAATAACCAATATTGTGTCATTCTATGACTTTGATAGAATATATCCATATATCATAAATATATCGACTCAAGTACTCAAGGACTGTAAATTACAGACCTTGTCGTCAGACCTTTGTTTGAAGCCTGTGTGTTAATTACAAAGCTACAAACCTCTGATTCATATCAATGGAAACAAACGTGTTATTTCAAGTCATTCAAGACTCTTCCTCTGCATCTTTATTTTCCAAGCACTGGGAAATAAAGGGCTGTTCTAATAAACAGTGTCAATGGCTCACTGTAACCTCCTTCATTTAACCCTGCTGAAAATCTCCCACATTTCCCAGAATGACTTTCATCAACCTCCAGAGAGTACAGGACGTGTAGGTGGAGGGAACAGCAGTGACGTGGAGCTCAGCTCTTCACCCATTAAAAAAAAAAGAAGATCTTCCCATAGGTTTAAAAAGTGTGTCACATTTTTTCTTTTTTATCTTTGGAACTTTGAGAGAAAGAGTTTTCTATCTTCTATACGGTCATATGGTTGTATAGATTGGATCAGTGGTTACATCTTGAGCAATTTAAAAAAATAAAATAAAAAAAAAAATATATATATATATATATATATATATATATATATATATAGAGTGTGTGTGTGTAAGGGAAAGCAAGGGAGGTTTTAGTTTATTACCTTCAAAATTAATGGTCTGTTTGGGAACCAGAGTCAAATTTCAGAATGACATTGCGCGTGTGTGTTTATCAGTACCTTGATGTATCTCTCATGTGGGACATACTGCAAGATGATGGGCTCCATGGTGAGGACATTGGCAAACTGCACCTCAGGGATATACAGTGCACAGACCACGTGGGCCCAGCCTGATGGAGGAAGATGAATCCACAGATCAGTGATGACAGCAGGAAAAAGTTTTGTCCTGGTTTGTGTAGGTTGGAGTGACTTACCTCCACTGTCTGTCCTCTTGAGGGCTCCATCTTTGTGGGGGCACAGCTCACACCTCTGGTGGCAGAGCAGAACAGGAGAGATTTAATCAGCAGGACTCTGGACCCACAGTTGTGTTCTTGTGTTGTTTTGGCTGGTTACACTCACCACACGCGCCGCCCTCTCCTGTGACTCACACTTCCGACAGAACCACGGGCCGGTGGGCACTTGGACGATACCGTAACACGCTGAAACACAAACAGACATTTCCAGTTGCTGGAAAAAAAAATCTTCATCATCTAAACCGTCATCAGTGAAACAGGTCAGGTCAGTTTTCTTTGTTGTCCCCCAAATATACACTTTTTTTTTTCTATGTGGACTACAATCATCATGACCAAATACAATTGTTCCAAATCTGGTTTGTAGATGACAATAAAATAAGACTTAGAACAGTTTGACTTCCTTTTCTGTCACAACTCATGTTATTTTATGGCTGTCATCTGATGTAGTATTTAGGAACCTGAGTCATAACAGAGCAGCCATGATCAACTGATCATCATTACGATCACAGTTGATTAACATTCCTCAGTGAGGGCAGCTTGAAGACGGATGGAATGTCTGTTGTTCCGGATGACATACCTGTGGAGGTGTGGAGATGTGGAGATGTTCAGAGGAGAGAACAGTTTCAACCAGGTTGTTTAACACAGTTGGGAGACTGAGATGATGTCTAATGAATGGGCAAAGAGTGTACTGGTACTGATTGTCAAGAACAACAGTGATGTGCAGAGCTGTAGTAACTACAGAGACCTAAAGTTGAATAGTCAAACAATGGAGGTTGTGGCGCTTTGGCCCAGAGGCAATGTCTCTGTCATTGGTGTGAAACCCCAGGGTTCACCTCCTGGGCAAGATCGACCCAGTTAGAGTGGGTGGCGACTGGGGTGGCCCCGTGACCTGGTAACGGGTAAGCGGATGAGAATGGATGGATGGACAATGGAGGTTTGGGTAAGAGTTACAGCAGCAAGGCTGAGACGAAAGGTGAGGATCAGTGAGCTGCAGTTTGGTTTTATGTCCAGGAAAGAAAGTTTCTAACAAGGTGGAACTGTGGTACTGTATGACACAATCAGAGGAAGCAGAGAAGTACTATGTGTGAGGGTTGTGCAGAATATGTATGAGAGACTGAGGGACAGTCGTTAGGTGTGCTGTCAGAATGAAGGATGTGTTCATGGTAAGGGTGGGGTTACATTGGGAGTCACTGGGAGTCAATGACAGGATTAGAACTGAGGAGAGAAAGTGGAGATGTTGCACAAAGGATGTTAGTAACGAGTTGCCAGGAAGGAGGAGAAGAAGAATGCTCAGTGAAGATTTGTGGATGTTATAAAAGAGGTCAGGATGTGGATGGAGTAAAAAAAAAAGAGGCAGGAGATAGTGTAGGTGGTGGAAGATGATCTGTGACAAACCCTGAAGGCAACAGCTGAAAGTAGAAAAGTTAACATTTCAAAATATATGAATAAACAAACCAAAAACAAACAACTTTTTATATTGTTGAAACAAAGACCAATAACAGCAGACATACTAACCTGGTTCTACTGGTGACTAATCCAAATGATGGAATCATTAATATGGAAAACAAGACGGACTGAATCTGACCTTTTTGGACCACTTTAATAATATGGCAAATGTGAACAGCATGAACTGATTTAGACCACTCCCACATCACTCTCATTTGAAACACTTTTACAACATGGTCAACTCGTATACTACTGAGCAGTCTAGTACCAACTGTAGACAGAACATCACAAATGAACAGCACAACAGAATAATACGTTTTGGGCTGTCCCATGATCTGAACAGTTCCAGTTCAAATTTGAAAAACAAACGCTTAGTGAAGTGGAGTAATGAAAAGTGGGTCAGATGACAACATTGAACTCCATTTATTCCAATAAAAGCTGTTCACACACTTGAGAACAGAAAGCGGTGTCTAAAATAGCAGACTCAGGCCACATTAGTTTTACGTCGGAACCACACTAACCGACCTTTACTGTCGTAAAAACAACGTGCAGTAAGGTGAACCGGGCCAGAGCCGGAACCACACGGTGCCGGGAAGGCGCCATCCAGGCTCGGTGTCACCCTGTCTGGCCCTGTGTGTTTAATCATGTGTGCCGAGAGGAAACAACGCACACATACACACAAACACGCACACACGCCTCCGTCACTCCTCCCACTCCCACCAACACGCACGTACACAGTGTACACAGAAGCCTTGAGACCCATCATCAACACCGGCAGCGGCGGCACCACTGTCCGCCTACGGCCGCTGCCCGGTTACAATCACCGGCTAACGGTGGCTAACGTTGTTACCTTGGTGGACGGCGACGTTGCAGCCGTGTCCATCACAGTACACCAGCGGATTCTCAGCCCAGCCTCGCTCGTCTGAACACACGCAGCAACCTCCAACCATTTCCCGCATGCTGCTCCCATATGAAGAATCGTCTTTCCCTCCCGGCGGCGACTCAGACCTCACCGGGGCCTGTCAAGTGCTCGTCCAACTCCGTTTGCGCCGCGCCGGGCATAGTCCCGGGCCGCGCTGCAGGCGCAGTTTGTCCGCTGATGAGAGACCAAATCTCGGCGTGAGGGTTTGTGCTGGTGTCGCTGTTGTTGCTGCTGCTGCTGGTACGGTTTTTTTTCCGTGATGTCCTCCCCGTCCCCATAGAACCGATGCAGTACGCATGCGCAGACGTGTTCTGGTTCAGAATAAAACTGGCTGGAGGGATGGTAAATTACTGAATAATGTTTTTTATCTTTACCCTTTTTCTAGGAAACGGTCTTAGGTTTCTAAAGTTTTACGTTTTCCATATCAAATTTCTACTTTTATTTTTGTCCTTATTTCTTTGGTAAAGTACAAAAAACGTCCATACAATACAGCACAAACTCCTTTCCTCCTGCGAGCACGACTCAACAGCGCCTCCCTCTAGACCTACACGGAACAGCAAGTTACAAGCGATTACACCATCCAACACAAACATACAGGATGTAAAGTCTACATCCTGTGTATATTATTTTGACATCTTGACACCACATTACATTTGGGACTTCATCTCCATAGACACATATTGCCCGACAGTTCATCTTTGAGCTATCCAATGTTCCTGTCACCCAAGCCCAGCAGTTAAGATCAGAGTTCTTAAAACTGTGAATTGAGATGATCATTTAACTAAAAGATAAGATCAAAAACTCATTACCAGTTTTGATACCACAATTGACAGGGAACTGGCAAAGTGCAAACCGAGGAGCAGAACTGGTCTAAATATTTCAAGAACTGCTAACCTGGTGGAAATTTCCACTCATGATCATCTCTGGACATATCAGGAAATTGTACCAATAAAAGAGGGGAACTATTTGATGATGCCAGATGAATGAGGCCAGATTGTTGAAGATAGTAGGAAAACAACAACAACTCTAACAAGGATTTGTTGGAACCAAGACATGCTCTTGGATTAGCTCCCCAGAAATGCATAACAGGGAAACTGTTGGAGAACACTTGGCTGGTGGTGAGAATACTTAGCAGGAAGAATATGGATGAAGATATGGAAGAAGGGGAAGGTGAAGAAGAAGAAAAGGGGGTGAAAGAGATGAAAAGCTGGAAAAACAGGTGAACAGGAGGAGAAAGAGTTGAAGAGTACCTTATTATTTCCATTAGGGAATTCACTTGCTATGGCAGCAGCAGCACGTGCTAAACCAGAGAAACCTACCAGAATAAGAAGCGAGAAAACAAGTTAAACATACAGATATAAACATATAGCGATCACAGGTTAAAACCCAGGTGATGATGGACTCTGTGTGTGTTCTGTGTGTGTGTGTGCTCTGGGGCCTTTTCTCCAGTACTCTTGTCCCTGCAGCAGTCTAAAAACATGCAGGATTAGGTAAACGGTTCCATCAAATGAACCACTGGTGCGAATGGTTATTCTTTCTCTACATGTGACTTTATGATGGAGTGGAGAACAGCTCCTGGGATTGCTCTGTAATTGGTAGAAAATTAATGAAGTGACTGTGAAGTGACCCTGTCCAGGACTGTCCCCGGTGTGCCCCGCCCTCGACCAATAGCTGATTGGCTGCAGCATTATGATGATTATGGACCAAAATACCCCTATCCTTAGAAAATGGCGCAAACAGGTGGTGGCAAAATGTAAGAAATAAGTAGAAACAGTTTATGGATATGCATTCATGAAATCGAGTTTCAGATGTGTGCCCACAAGTTTTGGATCTGAGTCACATCAACGGAAAACACAAATATGATTCACTTCAGCCAGATATTCAGACCAAACTGAGTCACATTCTTTTCTCTCTGTGGAATGCAGCTGTAGCAAATAAAGAAGAGAACGTAGGTTGGAAATGTAATGTTTGACTTGGTTCACTGCTGTTAATCAGTCAGCAGGTGTCACCAAAACCTCTCTATCTGACTGCACTCCTTCATCTTAGACTCCTGTCTGTAGAAAGAGAACAATCTTTGCTTTTTTTTACACTTGAGACATGCTTGAAGATGTCTACCATGAGACATTTGAACATGTTTCATGCTCGTCCAGTTTGTACATTTTAATCTAATTTGTTAAGTCAAAAACACAGTCTCTATAGTCGTGTGTCTCTGAGAATTCAGTCAGCGTGAAGATAGTCACCTAAATTTGGAGAAAAAAAAGGGAAGTTGCATTGTGTCTCTCATGAACTGGATGACTGGGCTTTTTCATCTGACATATGGACATGAAGCTGTGAAGACTGTTTGTCTCACAAGTGGCACTTCTCTACAGAGTCAAAGACAGCAAAAGGGGAACTGGCTCTGACGGAGAGAGCAGATAGTGGAGGCAGCAGCTGGATGAGGCAGAGCCTCCTGTTCTGTGATAAAGGCATCAGAGCATGACCCAGTCCCCGGAAACACACCGGCAAATCTACAGACTTCTTTTAAGGAGCAGTCCAGACCAAAGATATTAAGAAGGTCCACAGGTCTTGGAAAAAAACAAAAAAAACAGACAGAGCAGAAAGGTGAGTTTATAGACATCTGTGTGGTTTTCAGCCTTCTTGATCTGGAAGACCACTGGTTACCAAACTTACACTTTCCCTTTTATAGACCAGAGAAAACATCTTGTCAACACAAGTTCCTCTAAACATCTTTTACAACCTTGTAATTCAGCCCAAACGTGCAATAATGATAAAATTACTGTGTGGGACAAATAAAGACATTTTGCTTTGCCCCCACTGCAGTAGCTCACTGCCCAATATGGACATGTGTGAAACCTGCACCTATTAATGTGAGCAGCAGTGAATGAGGGACATTTTCAGGAAGAAGCTCTCAGTGAAGGGTGAGGTGATGTTCTATGTGGAACCAAGTGCACTAAACCACAACCTGACATGACAGAGACGTGTGACCTTCAAGACAATACCTTTTCAGCTTCTTGGTTTCTGACAGCAGTTCTATTTATTCATCTTTGTTGCGGTTCACTGTACATACTGAACACTACAGGTTTATCATTATTGAACTGTAGGTTAAATAGGGAAGAGACATAAGGTGGAGGCAGGACTAACACTAGAATAAGAAGCACCATCAATAAGGACTGTCAACATTAACAAGGTAAATTGGTGAATATTTGACAATTGAAACATCTGTCCAGAACAATGTGCATTTCTGTCTGTACATGATGATTGTTGGTTGTGAGGATACTTTGAGTTAGTGTGCATTACTTACTAAAAGTCTTGCGCAGCTTGTCGTACTGCAAAAAAACCTGTGGATCAAAAAAGGAAGTCTGATACTTCTGCTTGAAGGCATCCAGAAAAACCTGTAGACCAGACATGGATGGGTGAACCTTACATTGACGCAAGTATATGGTGCAGGTACACACGCACACACCTGGCAGACAGGAAAAAGACTACACCACACAGACTCAATAGTCAAAACAAAGGTCACAGAGGTTACAGTGGTGCAGCAGAACCAACAGACAGTAAGATCATAGAAGTGATGTCAATAATTTTATTGGCTAACACACAACTTTATCAATAACACAGTAAGCTATAATTACTGCTTCAGAAAAATTACCTTAGCATCACCATGTCAGTAGCAAATGTTCAGTATGAGAAACACACCAGTCTCCAGCTCCACTCCAAGGTTTTTGTAAGAGTTCACAACGTGAATTTGCTAAACTGTGAATACAATCAACAATGATGTGAGTATTAGTGCACACCAATAGAAACAGGCAGTCATTATTCAAATAAAAGAACTGAGTCAGTGGAGCTTCATGAGGATGTTTTAAATTCTGGAAGACGTTTACCAGTGGGCTCACAGGAAAGTTTAGGCACTTTTGGTGCAAAGTAACAGGAAGGCTGTTGACAGACCTCAGTCTGAAACCTTCCTGACACCTGAGTAATAACTACATAACTATCAGAGGCCATTAAGCTAAGTACAAAGACATGAGCAGGAGCCAGTTATACCCTGGAAAATGGTTCCTGGTACTGCATATGAGGAACATAAAAATGGACGAAAGCTACTTTAACTCGAGCCTGTGCTCGCCCCGAACAATGTGCGAGGAGAACTCATAACGATCATGGCTGCGGTGGCCACACACGTTACACTCAAGAGGGTCACGGAACCCGTGGCAGCCCATATGGATGGTGAACATGACGTAGTCCAGGAAAATCACCCTGCAGTGGCTGCAGGGATAAACTGCCCCGGGTACTAGTCCCGCCTCCCCATCAGCCTGCGCCATTCGCATACCCTCTAGCGGTGCCATGGGGATGGTCTGGGTGGGTGGGTGAGGTGAGACACCGTTTTGGTGGTTTAGTGCCCCCAGCAGGTGCCCTAAATTGTACAAAAATGGTTGGGATATCTGGGGGCTGTCGTTGTGGAAAGAGTCCATGCAGAGGGGGGGCTGAGCAGAGTGCTGGAGGCCCACAAGTGGCATGCCCATCTTGTGGCCATTGGTGATGCCGATGGGCTTGATCTCACTGTGACTCAGCTGCATGGAGAAGGCCCTGTGGGGGGCGGCTCCATCTTCATCTTTGATAGAAAGCACAGGTTGCTGCTGAAGGTGGGCATCAGGCCCTGGAGAGCCTGGTGGCCGTTCCTTGATTTCAGCCTGGTGGATGAGCTCCCTGTTAAAGCTTAGATCCAGGCAGACGCCGTTGTCACCTAAAGAATGAAAATCACAAGCGTGACATAGGGACATTAAAGATACAGACGTTTAACAAGTAGTGCCTCCCAAACCTACACCAACTCAAAATGAGCTGGTAAAAATACAGGGGAAATACAGGAGAAAAGAAGAATTAAAAAGCAGTGGAAGTTGAGGCAGGACAGAGGAGTTGGAGAAAGGAAGCAGACAACACAGACAACACAGACAACGCAGGGTTCAGTGCAGAGAGGCATAGAGGCCTCCCGTCTGCTTTCTCTCTGTGGTTGCAGACTTACTTCTCCTTCTTCCCGTGGTTGTCATATTGAAAGATCTCACTTCATCTGTCAATCTAATGGACAATGTATAAGCTTTTTTCTGCTGTAGAGGGGCTGATTGAGAAAGAAGGGAGGCAACTGCTGTGAAATGGCTGATCTGTGTGTGTGTGTGTGTGCAGACCAGCATGCATTAGGAATGAAGTATCACGGTCATGCCCTGTCAGCCATTTTCTGACACAGATATCTTTCCCACACTGCCACTATCTTTGTCAATGTGTTCTCTCTGTTTCCTTCTGTGCAGAAGAACTCTAACCAACTTGATTTGAAAAACCTGTCTAAAATATTCTTCTCATACCACTGATACTAAGTCCAGTTGAGGATCTAAGACCCTAAGGAATTTAAAGTAGGCTTCACAGGTATATACAAAGTGAATATGTAAGTTGTAATTTTAATACTACGTCTGTACTCCAACCGGAAGAACAACTGCACACGTTTACTTCATCTGAACTATGTGGACAGCTTATGTTCTGACATCACACCATCTGATTTTGTTGCTCTTTTATCTGGACATCAGGTTTTTTTTTTCTTTTTTACTCTTGTTCCTTATCACTTATAACCATGCATGCTTACTAGTACCCACCTATGATGCAACTCAGGCAGGGTATTGAGGGCAGAAAAGCAATCTTTGTGGTGTCTGCAGTTTTAAGGCAGCTGCTCTGCCCTCAGCTCCTGTGTGACAAAAATGGAAGCAGCCCAGACAACAGACAGGCAGCTCAGACAACAGACATGTAGCTCAGACAACAGACAGGCAGCTCAGACAGACCAGGTCAGAATAATGACACTACAGTATATTGTACAAAACAAAAAGCCCTAGAAGACCACACCATAGAACTGTGACCAAAGAAGGCCTGCACCTTTAAACGGCAGTGCCTTTGGAACGTCCTGTGGACTTTACCTGTGAACTTCTGTGGCATTGAACTTTTCCGTTTGGCAACATTGCTGGCAAGCCTGTCGAGCAACATCGCACGTTCGCTGCCCATATGAGACCGAGTTCCGTGACTCTCCTCTGTGTGAAGAAGAGGTGAGTCAATATATTTGTGTTGACTGTACAGTGTCCACCTGTGTTTGTACTTACATTGTACTTATTTTCATAAAAACATGTAGATGTAAAAGCTGCGTCTGTACAAGTGAGATACTACAGAGAGCACAAACTCTGTTGACCTCATTTTCTGCTGCTTTTTTGACTCCATCAACAGGAGGAGAGGACACCACAGGATGAGGATGTACTTCCTCATCATCACAACATCAGGGCAAAAACCTGGCCACAGAAGGGTTTTGGGTGGGTGGGGGTGGGGCCTGAGGGGGTTGGACTGTTGAGCAACAACATTTGTCCCAAATCCAGTGCTGGTGGAGGTTCTTATATAAATGAGACTGAACACCACAGAAACCACACCACCTATTTAAATGTAATTACAGCCATCAGCTTGTTAGGCTAATCAGGCTGTAACGACAGGTTCTGTCAGCAGCAGGTTTTTAGAAAGGTGGATGTTTCAAACTTACATTTAGTTGTGTTCCCCTGTCAAAGGTAGAAGTGTCAAGTTGTGTTTTATTTTGGTATTTATTATGGTCAGTTCATTCAAGTATTTAACTACAGTTATGGTATAGTAGTTATCTTACCATTAATGACTTCTTTTTCTGTTCTACACTTTGGAAGAAGGATTATTTTTAAGAGTATATGTTTGTATACTCTGGTTGGTTATCTGTAAAATACACCTTCCTGCTTGTGCAGCAGTGACATTCAGCTATTTTTCACAGTACGACCTACACTGTGTTCTTAGGGACAACAGTGCAGTGTCTGAGCGTCAACTGTAAAAAACTGAAGTTACTGAGTGAACAAATAATAAGACCAATGAGTCAGTACAAATGATTACAGATTCTGCTGCAGATAAACAGTTCCAGCTATTGAAGATGTTTTTCATGTTAAGAAGTGTCATTTAGTGTGTGTGCGCGTGTGTGTGCGCACGCCTGCACGTGCAGAGCCACAGCTGCTCACCTCTGTCTGCAGGACCTCTGCTCTGAATGTATACATGGCATCTCTCTCTGTGTTCCTCCAGCGAGCTTCGCTGCTTGTAACTGCGACTGCAGTGCGTGCACTTGAAGGGCTTCTCAACTGTGAGCAGAGAGTTTCAGTTAAAGACTGCAGACATGAAAGACCTGAGTGGCACACAGATAGTCATTGCATGATTTCCTTCAGCAGAACAGAAGATGAGTAGTGTGTTGTGAGTCTACAAGTAAAACATGTGAACTAAAAATATGTGAGTGAGTTTCCACTGGTGTGTAACAATATGAGCCAACAGCCCAGGTGTTACTGGAAGCAGTGTGCAGGCTGAGCCTCCCAGACGATTCGAAATTCACACTAGCAAACATGAGTGCACACTAGTGGTGACTGTTCTAGGACAGCAAAGGAACTCTCTAGCATTCTCTAAAACAATCAAAAATCTACTGTGTATTTTTACATTTCATTTACAAAAGTTCATTTACAAACAATGACAAATGTTCATTCGGAATCAGCCTGTGTCAGTGTCAGTCCATCCTGAGTGAGCTTTGGAGACAAACTGCAGCACACACACCGTCAGCCTGAGTTCTAGTTTCACCAAATCTCCTGAATCATAACATTCCACCATCAACTCCCAGTATGTGTTTGTAGGTGCTTCAACCTCAGGTCAGGGGCCCGGCTTGTGTCAGAGCAGCCTGACTGAGATCAGGACATTCAGTCTACAACTGACAGTCTGACTGACACAACAGTCAAATGGATTGTTCAGGACTGTAGAGTGATTAATATTGTTGAGGACAATGACTGAATTCACAAAGAAACTCTCCACACGTTCTACCAGACACCGTCCAGATGAACAGTAATGACCAACTCTATGGAGAGACAGTTTGACTGAGACTGTTGGAGATTTTCATGGACATTTTTACAGATTAATAATTCCATCATTTGAATTAGTCACAGATGTTGGTCTGACTTATACAAAAAAGTTTGTCATATTCAGAAATGTTAATTTATCCTAATTAATCACATCTAATGATGATTATGAGTTTCTATGTAAATAAAGGTTTGAGCCTTTTCCTACTTTAGTTGTGTGAAAAGACTGTCTTTCCCTGTTTTCCTTTTTTTTTCCTTTTCACTGTACATTTCTATTGTGGATAATTTTATTCATATTTAAATGAATACGCCTAAAACAGGTCTTATCCTGTATCACAGACCAGTGACTGGAAGTACAAGAATCAGAATGGAGTCGATGAGACTGCAAGACTCCGAGAATCAGTGTGAATTTGAACTTTTGGTCTACTAAGGTGAGCCCAGACTGCAACTACAAAATTGCTAAATGAGTCAAATTTAAAGTCATGAAGACAGGCGAGTGTTCGCAAAGACCTAAAATGTGTCCTGGTCATAACAGCTATCTCGAAGTCAGTTTGGGGTCAGTTTAACAATAAGACTGTCAGTGTAAATGGGACTGTCGTGCCGTGTGAGATGTTGCTACCAGAGTGGGTGCGCAGGTGTCCGCTCAGAGCATCACGGCGGCGGCAGGCGTAGCTGCACATGGGACATTTGAAAGGTTTCTCTCCTGAGTGTAATTTGATGTGGCGGAGCAGGTTTCCCTTCTGAGTGAAGGAGGCTCCGCACTGAGAGCAATGGAACGGCCTCTCACCTGAAGGAGGGAAGGGATGAAAGAAGGATCAGAAAACATGCATGAACAAAAACATTTGTTTCTATGAGGAATAAGAGATAAACGTCCTACATAGTCTCAATAACATATTCTAGGTAAAAACAGACCATCTGAGTCACTCTGATTGTGGGGTTGGAAAAGTTACATTTTCTGTGTATCTGTGTAAACTCTTAAGCAGAGTCACATACATGACAGGTTGAGTGCGACAATGATGTTGTTAGTTATTACGAAAACCACCCAGAGAGTGTATGAGTGTGAGGACTGACTACAAATTAACCAGATGTGCGTCACATCTGAATGATGACAAAACTATGTGACTTTATCTGCACATACAATATAAAGTCACGAACTGTACCACTTGCTAACTTGCATGTTACTGCTCCCTGTTACCAAGTAGAGCATCGCAACCTCATCGATGCGAGATCCGAACCTTATCAATGGTGTGATCATTGCACAACTGCTGCTGTGTTTGAGGTCAGGGCTGTTGGCTTACCCGTGTGGCTGCGTTTGTGCACAAGCAGGACGTTGATGCTGACGCAGGACAGGCCACAGATGTCACAGTTTAGTTTGCCTGTGGCCTGAACACGAGGACCTGTAGCTCCGGGTGTGTGAGGCCCCTCTGCAGACTCTGCTGCTGCTGCGTGGGCGTCCTGCAGTATTGCGCTCTCGTACTTAGAGTAGTACGAGAGCGACAGGTCTTGTGGCTCGTTCAGTGTGTCCTCCTCTTCATCGCCTTTCTTTTGCTCCTCATCATCCTCCTCTGTCCTCTCCTCTTCGAACCTTTCCTCCATACCATCCTCACTGGCCCCCTCTGTCTCCTCTTCCTTCAGCAGAACCTCTCGCTCTTTCTCAACCTTGTAATACAGCTCATTATCTTCTATGTCCTCTGTCTCTGTCTTTATCATACCTGAGGGGGGAGAAGGGTAAAACTGTGAACTGACTCCATGATTTAGTGAGGATGAGGGTCAGGTGGTAGAGCTCCTAAAAGCTAAAATGTTTCATCCTTGGACCCACTTGTCTCCTACATAGAGTCGTCCCATGCCTTCACAGAAGAATAGAGAGTTACACAGTTGTGGCTCAATAGGGATACTAAGTGGACAGTTAAGTTTAGCTGTGGGCAAAATATTCACCAGAAAATGACTAGCCTGAAAAACTATTGGCTGGATTTGGCCAACAAGCTCATGAACCAGTTCAAACGTGTCCTGGAGGATCATACCTAAACACTTGGCCCAAAGCTGTTACATAAAGCAGCAGTTAATTCTGGTTTTCTCTGGGGTCAGACATGGACACTCTTTCTAGACATTTGGTGTGTGGACTGTACAGTGAGGTAAAGTGTAACTCAGGTAAAGATGTTATTTTTGTTGTTTGGCTACAAATGGTGTCATGACGTGACCTACCTTTATCTGAACAAGCTTAATGAAAAGCCACTCTGGCCAGAAAGAGACACAGTCATGTCTGTGTTTACATTAATAGTCTGTGGTTTATTATTTGTTTTTGTGCGTCTCCTAAACGTGGGCTGCTTAATTTGGACTAGTGCATAGTGTCACGAAGACATTTAGAAGATGTGTGCTTCAGATAAGAGAGGGGTGTTTCCTCTCAACACACCAAAGACTAAAACCAAGCCAGTAGACAGAGATAGACAGCAGCAGGCGACGGTGTGATTCAAAAATCAACTCAAGACTAGTTTTTTTTTTGTCAGAACTAGTTTTTACTTCAGACATTTAAAATTGCCAACAGCAATAACCGTGTCTGGAAAAGGCAAACACAGAACAAACTAGTCCAGTTATATCAATAGGTTAGCCAAAAGTACAGCAAAATCAGCTAATCATAATTTAGAATTAAATAGGTGTTATCCACAAAAAGATAAAGATAAAAAATCCAAGTAGAAAGAAGCTCAGAAAGATATAAAGATCTGCTAAGAAGTTAAGTTAAATGTCTAATCACATACATTTAGACAATCAAACACTGATAGAACTGACCCCCACCTCCAAAAAACCCCCAAAACAAACTAAGCCAGCTTCTTGGTTAACTTTATTTTTTTTCAATATTCTGCAACAGGTTTTAAAAGGTTTGCCAGGACTGTGTCCTCAGCTAAGTACTAGTTATTGGCCTAACATTTTGTGCCTATGACATTTCTGTACAAGGTTATTTAAAAAAAATCTGTCCAGAAAACAAATGGCTTTATTTTATTGACATTGCCAAATTAAAAAAAAACTACAAAATAGCTCTTTGTATTTTTTCTTTTATATTTTGTTATATATTATACTTTTAGTCTAAAATTTCACAAGAAAAGTAGTAGACCATGGGTAATTGTTCATTCACCCCTGACAAACGGTTTGGAGACCCTTAGACTAAACTGCAGATGCATGAAGAAAACAGAGCCTCTGTCTTGAGGTCTGGTCTGTAGGACATCTCACCCAGCCACATGTTGGGTGTCAAGCAGACCTCTCTGTGCTCAGCCCATCCAGAAACCACACTGTGGTCATGGTGGTGACTGGTGATGAGCTGAAAAGCAGCACCTCAAAGTGTGGGAAGCGCGCAGAGGTGCTATGAAAACTTTGCACGCACATAAAGAGCGAGATCCGAAAGGCTCGATTTAGAGTCCAATGCTGAGAGCAGTGAACCGCAGGCTGAGCCTCACATGCTGAGAGAACAGGCTTTAGGAAGTGCACCAGTTACTACTGACTAGGGAAGCCGTCTTGATGCCAAAGCTGTTGAGATGAGTCAAAAAGTTTCAACTCTGAAGATATCATGTGTTTAACAGCAGAGTGGTTCACCCTGGGAGAGGCAAAACCACACAGCAGAGAAGCACGGCTTCTGTGTGTTGTTGATTTAGTTAGAATAATATGAATAATATTACAGTTCACAATTCTAAGAATTTATGACCTGGATGATGTTCACATTTCAATAACCCAACATAAGGCTTGGACAATCTCATATTTTGGCCGCTGGATTTAGCGAAAAGCAGGCAATAATAGCTTTAATATTTAAAATAGCTTAAAATTAACTAAAAGTAATCTACAGTAAGAAGAGTTACCTTAAGAAAACCAAAAATATAGTTGATAAAGATTATTAAAGAAACTAACAAAAGGCATAGTTAATAGCTGTCAGAGTTAGTGAAATACAGAATAATAATAATAATATTAGAGTCAGCAAACAAATAAGTACGGAAAAAATAAGCCTCGACCATACACAGAAGTTTGTTAAAGGATAAATAAATAAATAAATAAATAAATAAAACTCAACTCAAAAGAGACGATTTAAAGTGAAAATAGTTCAAACTTGGCCTCGTGGCTAAAAGATAAATTAGGGAAGATCAGACAGAGGTAAACAAAGGTACACAACCACATGAAAGGACACAGGGAAAGACTTCTCTCTGTGGTGCAAGTGAGACCCGTATGGATTCATCCTACCTTCAGTCAGATGAAGTCGATTCTCAGTGAATGGAGTCTTTCCCCCTTTCTCCTCTTCTTCCTCCTGTGTCCGGACATCTGCACTGCCAACATCTGAAAGTTTGACATAATCTCTCAGCGTTTTATCTCATTTCTCCTTCCAACTTTAGGTTTAATGTTAATGATGATGAATGTGGCAATATTTAAAATTTAAAAATTAGGCGAGGTTGAAACTCACCCATTTCATCTTCTTCTGAAGATTTTATTTCAAGATGATTGTCTGCATTCATAATTTGAACAAACAGATCTGTGGATAGACACGAGTATCATTTGGTCAATCACCTCCACCAATCATCTCAGCAGGCTGGCGTCAGCTCTTTCTTCTCTAAATGTAATTTTATAGAAAAACTGTACATTTTGATTCAAATGGACTACATGTTCAGTCTGCCTGATCCGGAGGTAGTTATCGGTTCCTTATGCCCTTGGAAAATATGATTTTAAGAGTAGTTTGTAGTGTTTCAATTTAAGCAAATGTAGTAAAACACAATAAGATTTTTTTTTAGCTTTTTATTGCTAGGTCTAGATTTATTCCATTTTGTAGACCCTTTTGGCTAACATGTAACTTTTACTAGATATTTGTATTATTTAAGGTTTAAGGTTGCCACATCTGTGGCTAATTTCTAGAAATATTTTAAGATTACGTTTTAGGTTGTTGTTGTTTTTTTGACAATTAAGGATTTATTTATTTATTTTATTTATTTCTAGCTCTTTCCAGGTTTTCTTTATGCCTATTTGGATCTTTCTTTAACTGACTAACTAACTGAGGTTTTTCTTACAGTTTTTGTTGATTTGGTTTCTAAAAACCCAGTTCTTTTTGGCTAAATGTCAACCACCTCAGATTACCTGATTACCTGACTGCGTATTGCTTATATTTTACATTTACATACTTTTGCCTTAGACCAATTCAGGGACAAATATCTTTTCCCCCCAAATAAATCTATCTGATTTCTACCCTTGCTATAAGTTAAATTCAGTTTTACACTGCTGGACTACTATAAATGTTTTTATTTTTTTCTACCACTTCTACAAAGCTTATAAAGAAACAGGAGGGACTGTGACCTAAAACGTGCATGTTCCTGTTGTAGTCAGAAATATTCATCCACGGTTGATTGCTCGACCACATATCTACATTTAACCTTATGAGAAAGAAACACATGCATTTCCTGTCGGGTCTATGCAAAGGATCAAGTGTAGAAAATGTTTCCATTTAACGAACCAATGAGGCAGCTGCTGAAGGTTTTCTGAAGATAAACTGAAAATAAGGAGCTACACGTGTCTAACTACCGCTTTAGAAACTCTCCAGTCACACATTTCAGTCAAATTGCATCAAATGTTTTGTGATAATAAAGGTTAAAGTGTTAAGTTACCCAGGTACGGTTTCTGTACATTAGAAGCTCTAACTTAAAATATTAGTTTAGTTTTTACATGGTCACAATCAGACAGAAAAGACAACATTGTCACTTCATTAGGTTCAATATAATTCCATGGACCAACTTCATTAGGTGTCACTTGGTCCATGGAATTAGAAGTTAACAGTCTTCTGATGTGTGATGACGGGCTCTTACCTTCTTTGTGTCGAGCATCTAGAGGTGAAGCTCTCTCTCACGTTGTAAGATCCCACGCCCAGGCTTTGGACCTTCTCTAATATGGAATAAGCAACGTCACGGCGGTGAATTTTGGAGAGATCCCTTAAAGAAACAGGAACCCACGGTGACGGTGGAGCAACAAGAACCAAAGTGGACTCACCAAGCAGAACATCACTAAATATTTGCATTATTCCCTACTTTTTTCATGTTCAGTCACTTAAAGCATCTTCACTAAAGCAAATCATATGGCACCACTGTCACCAGTGCACAGTGTATATGAGTCTTAGCCAGGAAGTGATGATGGTTGTGATGGTTTGATGTCAGCTCAGACAATTGCAACATATTCTATTTGAGGAGTTAGGACTCCATCTTGTGGTAAAAGCTAACAGCAAATTTTAATTCCAAAACAGTTCTTGGCTAGCTGCCCTCGTTCACAAATTGACTACAACAAAATTTCTGTCTTCTTTAAACACATTTCCTGTTTACTGTCATTGTTCCACTGACCATCTTCACGTCCTTGGTGATTATTTTTATAAATCACCTCTGAATCTGAACATCCTTCCCAGCTGTATCACTAAGTCATGTTCTCCTCCCTTGCTCTCTTTGTCTTAACCTCAAAGCACAACAGTATTCCATTGTCATTCTTGCCTTTCTATTAGACTTTTTCTGACTTTCCTTGAGTTTTCTCTTGTTCCAAAGAGAACTCCCCACCTTCTTGCCAGTTTTCCTCACAACACTTCTTAAAACCCCTCCTTCTTGACTTTTCTTGGTTCTAGCTTTACTCTTTTTTTCTTCCTTCCTAAACTCTGTCAACAGGACTACAAAAGCTTTAAGCAAGGTGGTAAAGCTAATCGTTTTTCCCCAAAAATTTAAAAAAAAAGTTTTGTTGACTGACAAACAGTGTTGCAGTTGATCTGACAGTATATTTTCTATCCTTCAGCAACATGGAAAATGGATGTTCATTAATTCATCTTCTTCCACTTAATCCTTTTAAGGGTCAAGTGTCAGAGCTCAAGGCAGAGGTCGGGGGTTCCACCCTGAAGAGTTAACAAAGAAAAACAACCATTCACGCTCACATTCACACCTATGGTGACTGAACAATAACCTGGTCTATCATGTTTTTAGACTGTTACAAACTCCTTGTAACAACAAGGAGTTGGACGGAGTACATGAAGAAATCCCAGACAAACTGGTGTGTGTGTTCTGTCTCCCTGCAATTTCCATGCAGGAAGACTGAATCAGTGAACTGCTGATCTTCTTGCTGTAAAGCCAAAGCACCAATCACTTTTCCATTGTATGGCCAACTCTTCTTTATCCAAACAGGATTTACAGATGCAGAGGGGATTCTAAACCAAAATAGTGAATTTTGGTTTAGTGAAATTTGTGTAAGAAGCATCGCTTCTTCATTTGCAATATGGGAATTTGGGAATACTTGGCCTTCCTTAGGATTTTGTAGATCAAACGTCCCTTTTATACACTTTGCTGTATTACTGGTGCTTAAAGTGCATGCTAACAAAAACTATCACTTTTTTTGAGTGCGATCTATGGTGGAGCTGTAAGACGCAGTTAGGGCAGTGGGTCCCAAACATTTTCTGCAGGGCCCCTCCTTTAGAAAGGACTATTGTTGCGCTCACCCTTTGCGCTCAACAGCTTTGCTGCCAAAAAATCCAGTAGATTTTATCTGTTAACAGTTATTCTTTTAAATTCAAATTAATTTGTCTTGTCAAAACCCCTATAAACCTTTAGGTGAGTCAAAACCAGGAACATGCAGAAACTACCCTTATGTTTAAACAAATAATCACATTTCATAAGGGTAACATCCTGTGCTCTTTATATCCCAACTAAACGTTGTGAATGAAGTTGTATTTATTTTTTCATAAAGGTTAAGAGTGGTTTAATATAATCCCTGGCACTGACTCGCCTTAGCTTATAGTTAAGAATTTACTGGACTCTTATGGAAGAGTAAACTGAAGAACAATTGCAGCTGCTAGTTACTTTATAGTTTTCAATGAAAAGTGGGGAAGAGTGACGAAGAGTGACAAACAGCGAGGAGCCTCACAATCTCAGTCATGCCCACCTGAGTGGGTACAAAACCCTGTAAGGTCTGGCTGCTGCCCACAGCTTGCCTATGGCAACCAGCCACCAGTTACACAAAGACATTACAATACATGCTGGGTTTCCATGGTAAAATTGGAGCCAAGGAACAAAGGGGGAGAAAACAAGATGTTGACCAATAAAGGCCATGATTCAAAACCTCACAAGCTGAGTGCAGAGAATATCTGCACACGCAGCAAAAAAACAACCAGGCAACACGCAGATTTGACAGACTCTTTCTTCCACACTCAGGAAACACGCACAGGTACAATGAACACTCTTAGTTTGCTGTGTTGTTAAAGCTTTCTTGTGGTTTTTAAAAACCTCTGGGGGCTGGGCAGCAGAAAGGGGGGGGTGGGGGGGTTCAACACTGTCCATTTGCCTTTTATAACGGCTCTTCCCATCTT